CCCTCACACACCCCCACCCCCACCCAGTCGTCCCATGTCGAGGTTAAAAGCAGTTCACGGAGCTTTGAACGTGTTGTTTACTGCGATGGAGATGATGTGCAGCGGCTTTGAGACGAGAAGCAGATTARGGAGGCTGAAGAAGAAAATATGTCACAAAAGTCACGAGTAAAAAATGTTGTGTCTCTTTGGGGCCGTGCCGCTAACTTTTCAGCTAATCCGATTAGCACCGGGGGGGGTTTCTGCGGATTTGGCTCCCAAGCCAACCTGGGTCCGGTCTTATCTGTTCCTGTTGTGACTTTATGCAGCATGGACTGCAGCTCCGACACACATGGGCCAAGATCTGTGGACCTTAACAAGCAAAACTGCTGCCTGTGGGTGTGTCTGTCTGCTGTCTGGGTCGGCCCGATACACAAGTAATTTATTCAGAAAAGCATCACCCCAGAATATCTGGATGTGAGGGCAGGATCAGGCCTGAGACTGGACAAGACCCCACATGACTGGTCTTTAAAAAGGAAACAACAAACAGGGGGTCGTCAACATAATTACACCTAAAACTGAAGTAGCTTTACGACAAGATAACTTCAAAAACACTCGTTATTCACTTCTTTTAAAGTCGAAGCTGCTAAAGGGAAAAAAAACAAGTAAATAAATTAAAGCCCGTATATACAAATGTTTTATAAACCATGTTTTACTCCAAAGAGTATTCTGACTCAGTGGAAACGTCTTTTTAAATTTTGAATCGTCTCATGAAACAATCCTAAAAGAAAAATGTTCCATCCAACCTAATTTATTTGAGCAACTCGAACATGTCTAACAGGTCACTAATAAGTTTTGGCCAAATCAGAAGTAATGCCTTCCCTTTTATCATAAAATTACTTTAGTTTATTGATTAGGATCCACATTAGCTGGGCCTTACACCCAGCTACTCTTCCTGGGGTCCATCATTAAAAATCCGTACATGACACAATAAAAATATTCAAAATACATACGAGTGTAACATATAAATCAATTTAATAGTTACAGTTCATATAACAAAATTGTAGGTTTATAAAAATACAATAATTAACCATTTCATTTTATACATAAGTTGCTCCAACAAAGCTTTTCAATCTCTTTAAAAAGTAACATTTGTTCAGTTTTTATAAGAATTAATGGAATATGAAATATAAGAATTGCTCTGTAAGTAAAGGTGCATTAAAGAAAATTAGTTTTCGCCTGAGGAATCCGAAAACGTCCTNCCCCCCACCTTCCTGTCTCCCTCTCCTCCCATCACCCCCACTCCCCCTTGTCTCCCAGAGACATTGTCAAACTGGTGGAGGTGTCAAACGACGGCGGGCCCCTGGGGATCCACGTGGTGCCTTTCAGTGGCAGGGACCGCAGGTAAAAACAACCAGAGCCGAACCGAGCCGCGGCGCTGCTCGACCCGGCTCAGAGGAGATACAAGAACTGGATTTTTTTTAAATGTGGAGCTTAAAGAGACTAAACAAGAATAAAATCAGTTTTTTTTTTGCGCCAAAAAAAGAAAAAGTAACAAAAACTTTTACATTCATCCTTTTTTTTAAAATCAAAACTAACTTTTATTCACTTTAAAATGATTTCCTTTTTCCTGTTTTTTCCTCAGAGGTGCCGGTCTGACAGGTTGTTGAATTTAAATAAGAAAAGAAAATTACCCACTTACCTTCTTTAGCTAATGGCTTTTTTCCCCAAGTCTTCTAAAACGTACAGTACTGTGCAAAAACTTTAAACTACACCTAATTTCTTCACACTTTGCTTCCAAAATGCCTTCATGTAATCTGTTGAAGTGGTCTGGATCAACAGTTCAGACTTTCTGAAGGTTTTATTTCCCACTTTTTTATTTTGGTTCTTAAATCTGAATAAAACCATCTCCAACAGAAGAACAGGGTCTTAAAGTTGTGTAAGAAATATATCATCTGCTTAATTCATAGTTTTATTGTTTATTATTGAGGATCCCTGTTAGCTGAGCCTTACACCCAGCTACTCTTCCTGGGGTCCATCATTAAAAACACCCACCCATAGTACAATAAAAAATATCTGACAGATAACAAGAATAAAAATACATATCAATTCAATCTTTAATTACAGTTCATATATTAAATTATACATTTATAAGAAATAAAACAATAATTAACCATTTCATTTTATACATAAGTTGCTCCAACAAAGCTTTTCAATCTCTTTAAAAAGTAACATTTGTTCAGTTTTTGTAAGAATTAATGGAATATGAAATATAAGAATTGCTCTGTAAGTAAAGGTGCATTAAAGAAAATTAGTTTTCGCCTGAGGAATCCGAAAACGTCCTTCAGCTGTATATTTGGTAGCATTTAAATTATTATTCAAGTGGACAAACAAAGTGAACTTTAGAGTTTTAAGATTTACTATGTTGAGGATAATAGTGAAGCTAATGCCTTATCGTAGGCTTGAGTGCATGGTGTTTATGCTAGTTTAAACTCTGGTATAAAACATAGCAGCTGATATGAATGTAAGATCTTTAATTCCCTTAATTTGTGTGGTTCCTGTCACTGGATTAAAAACACATTTGGATTCTTACCTCGATGAAAATTGTGACAAAATGCACCTGAAGGAGATTACAGGCTTTAGTTTGGAGTTCATAAACTTCAATCACGTTTAACACCTTAAAACATTTACACAGAATGCTGAAAAGGACGAATGTCGCCGCTTTCCTGTCCTTCAATTTAAAACAGACTCAAACAATACTCTAACAATGCTAATCGGACATAATGAGGCAGATACTTCCAGGACCACCTTTGCATACAGTCCCTCATTATGCAGCCAACAGACAGACAATACCCTCAGACGCTAAGTAAAACGGTCACCTTTATTAGCTTTTCTATTCCATTAAGGCTGTCAGCTTAAGGCCTCCAGTAGATCTGCAGCTCTGCCACTGATAAGAGTCCAAATCACCTCTGACACAACAAACCAGCCTCATTTACTCAACCTAATCTCTCCCAGGCTTGGTGAGGCATGAAATGAGACTGAATGCTTTGCAGGAGCAGAAAACTTGTCATCTTAAAAAACGCTCTTTTAAACGCTCATTTTCTCTGTTCGGATCAGGCTGATTGCTGGAGATAAGAGGAGAAATTAGAAAGATGTGGACTGTTTCCAGTCAGTGGCCAGAAAGGTCACGGTGCCTGGGTTTGAATATTACAAAAGTCACTGTATAGAATCAGAAGACCTTGAAGATGATTTAAAACAATCATTAATATGTAAAGACTTATTTCAGACACTTTTATCAGAAATGAAATTAGCATTTTAAAGCTACTTATGAGAAAAATCAACATTTTAAAAATATCTAGTCCCTGCAGACTCAGAATAAAAGTTGTGCACCAACAGTTCCCTCAGACAGAGGAGGGTGTAAAAAGTGTGGATGACAAGGACTGTTTCTCAATATATGGGCCTGATATGGTGTTGAACACCTGGGAGAGTTTGCAGTCTGACATCAAAGGACACACATACACACACACACACACACACACACACTGAAAGAATACAAGCCTACAGTGGAGATGAGAGCTCCTTGTCCACCTGATGTGCTTTCAGAAGCAGCATCTGGCACAAATCTCCCATGCAGCCGGTGCAACAGAGAAGGGCTCAGGTTTTATTCTTTCACACAGAGAGACAAGGAAGTGCTGCAAATCTCCTCAAAGACACTTCTTCATGCATCTTTGGGCCTCTTTTCTTGTTGTGTCACGGCTCCAGGTCAGGACCTTAACCCTCTCTGTCTGCGATCAACAGAAACTCTCTGTTCAACACACCCAGAAGAGGCTGAGAGCCTTTAATAAGCATGATATGGATTCTGCAAACGCAGCTGTAATTTTAAAAACAATGTTTTTTTAACAAGCCATAATCCGCATGCACAAAGTTAAGTTGCAGAAATTGGTACTGCAGTCCTAAATGTGTACACAATGATTACTTTCTGATAGTTCCAGTAAAATCTACTGAGACATTTTGCTAACAGTACAGAAAAATTAACAAGCACACACACATTTGTTCCTCTATCCTCATGGGGACTTAGCATTGATTTCCATTCATTTACTTACCATTCCTATACCCTAACCCTAACCTCACAGGTACATACCTGACCCTAAACCTAACCTAAACTCAATTTACACCTTAGTCCAGAACCAAACCCCTGACCCAACAACAGTATTTCCCCCAATGGGGGCCGGGCTTTTGTCCCCATTAGAAACAGTGGGTCCTCACTAAGCTGTGTGCACTGGGAAAATGGTCAAAAATCACCCCCACTAGGTAACAAAAACATGTACACACAAACACACACCACTTGCATCAAACTGAGAACTTTGTATTGACTTCCATTCATTTTTGTAACTGTATTTATGCCTAACCCAGACATTTTCCCTAAAATTAACCATTACTGGTCTTTTCCTAACCCTAACCTGAACCAAAACTTAATTCACACCATACCTCTAAACCTGACTAGTAAAGCACAGTAGAGCTGCAAACAAAGTGAGGACCGAGACAAGGTCTTCACTTCAAAGACCTCACTTTGTAACTATTTTGCAAGTGGTCCTCACTCTGTAGCAGAAACAAGTACACACACAGCTGTGTCTAGCTATCTATATGGGGACATTCCATTGACTTTAATATTAATTTCTATACCCTAACCCTAACCCCTTACTCTAAACCTAACCTCACAGGTACATACCTGACTCTAAACCTAACCTCACAGGTACATACCTGACCCTAAACCTAAACCTTTGCATCGGGGTGACCCTTGCACCCTAAACCTAAACCTAAACTCAATTCACACCTTAGTCCTAAACCAAACCTCTGACACACTAGTGGCATTTCCCCAAATGGGGACTAGGCTTAGGTCCCCATAAGTACCAGTTTGTCCCCATATGTAGGTGTGTACGTAGTCTAAAAATGGCCCTCATATGGTAGGAAATACACGGTCACACACACACACACACACACACACACACNGTCTAAAAATGGCCCTCATATGGTAGGAAATACACGGTCACACACACACACACACACACACACACACAGGCAAAAACAATCCTAGCCTTCCACAATAATTACTGATGGGAAAAAAAATGTCTCAAGTTGTCTCCTAAAACATCCCCTTTATGGAAAGATTTTTAAACTAACAAACAACTTCATTTTTAGCCTTTGATCATTTTACTTCTTGGTTTGAAATATAAAGATGATTTAAAAACTAAAACACATTTAAATAAATGCTCTTTATACTTACTTTATACTTACTCTTATACTTTGTACTTGACTGATGATTCAAAAACTGTGCGTCATGTGGGGAAGGTTTCAAAACTTTTCTTAGCTGTCATTTAAAATCCCCAAAAACCCAGAAGAGAAGACAATAAAAATAAAAAAAATAAAACAATCAGCAACTTCTTGCTTTGAAATAGTTGCTTATCATTCCCTCTGGTTTGCAACTTCTTCAGCAGCYGCATCAATTTTTCATCGCCGCACCCGGTGGGTGAGACTTCATTAAAAGAGCAACATGAATGTTTTATTTATGCTGGTATCTGATGTTCAACAGTGAGTGAGGCTTGTTCCTCTGCATCCACTACCCATCAATACCCACCCCCCACAGAGCTGCTGCGCTCAGGCACACAGGTTGCTCCACAGCCACAGGATGGATAATTAAAGGTCAATAGGCTAAACGCTGGATCAACATCATGGGGGAGTTCCTTCAGCTATCAGCAGAAGAAATAAAAACATTTGTAATAAACCTGACAGTAATAAAGTTTCATGAAAGATAATATTAAAAAAATATCTGAAGAATTTCCAGCAAATACAACATTAATTTAATTACACATTTTGCTGTCTTAAATAGAAGACTCAAGACAAATATGTCATAGCATGGTACCAGTAACTCTGACTGGACTGGGAACAAAAACAAATCCATCCTGGTTTAAAAAGTGAAGCAGCTCTGATAAATCCTGAACATAATTCTGGTTGGCTTCCATTTTTAAAATGGAAAGCTACAAAATTTGATTTCTGTTCTCTGAATGGATTGGTACGATTAGATAAACAGCGACCACGATGGAGCACATCTCTGTCCAAACGAACATTTATTCAAACATAGTTGTGAAAACCTTTACATGAACCCTACCAGGTCTGAGTTTTTGTTTCCCAATACTGGAGTCTCAATTCATAGAGAACATCAGTGCTCTAAAAGTTCAACAAAGAGGGGGCTGTAACAATATTGACATATGTTTTTAATCCATTAAAGGGGTGTTTGTGTTTAATTGATCATTTTATGATCAGATGCAGGGAATTGTAATAGAAGAAAAATACTTGTTTTAAGTAATTCATGACATATTTAAATGACCCAGTTTTTCATGGCACCATGTTTATCAGTAAACAGAATGATTACAGCCAGAACAAGATTTGCTAACAGCAATCACTCTTAGATATGACTTTGTATTTWTCTCTGTTTTCCCTTGACCCAAAGAGACCCTTAGTATGAAATCTTTCTTAAGATGTTTGTTTAACAGTAGATGTCTGATAGAGAGCTGATTACTGCAATAAACAAACTGACGTCCATTCTACAAAATTTATTCTTTCTGTCATGTATTTCTGTTCCTTATTAAATACAGTGGTTTGCAAAAGTATTCATACCCCTTGAACTTTTCCATATTTTGTCACATTACAACCACAAACAT